CTGCCAAAACCGCAATTACTATTTGCACCAACCTAAGAAAATATATCCTACCTCACACAGTGGTCAGCGGTTCACCTTGAAAAAAAAAAAAAAAAAGAGAAAATGAAAACCCTGAGTCCCACAACCAGAAAAAGTCCTTGATAACATTTTGGCACGTCTCTTTTGAGTCTCTGTTAATAGGACTACAAAGATAGGGCTACAGAGGTCATTAAGATCTTACTGTTAATGACTTGCTTCCTGCATTTTTTTTTTCACTTACTATTATATCATAAGCATTTTCCCATTTCATTAAATGTTTTTTCAAAACATCCTGTTTGGTGTCTGTTTGGCATTCCAACATCAGAACGCTGGCTTAGTTGTCCATGGGGTGATAAGCTCAAAAGGCATCCTATGTACTTTCTTTCTCTCTCTCTCTCTCTCTCTCTCTCTCTCTCTCCCTCCTCCTCCCTCCCTCCTTATGTCCAGTGTCTGGGCTAGAAGCAAAGCCAGCAGGCAGAGGAGGAGGGAGGCCCCATATGTGTGAGACCCTGGCAGCCCAAGGCTGTCCCCAGCTGAGCTCACTAGTCCAAGGAACCTGGAAATTTTCAATAGAAGAATTTTGTGGACCTCATCGTTGAAAGGTTTCTTGCACTCCCTGCAAATAACATTTAAATTTGCACAGAATGTACCGTGTATCTTATTTGCCGTCTTAACTGTTTCCTGTCTGCATCTTTCATTTATTGCTGATGGACCACAGTCTTGGAACTTTGCCTCGTCCTGGAGCCTATCGCAAATGTGTCAGACAGCATTACCTTGATGGTCCATCACCCTGTGGACATGCTGGACAAGGAGGGTGGTTGTAGCCTGGAGTATCAGTACAGCCCATATCATGGCTATATGGGATTCCAAAGTAGTAATCAAAACCTGGAATAGAAGCAACTGGTTAGCACCCCCACGTGGCTGTGACTCCATGTGCTTGCCTTCGTACACCCACGACAAAAATGTAATTTCCTATGATTTAATACTGCAGTGCTATAGAGTATGTAATTAAAAGAGGATTTGATTAATATCCCTTTGTAGTATGCATAGAAAATCACTTTGCTGGGTTCTGGCTGTTAGATTAGATTTGCAAAACATCTTGTGATTAGAATTAACCCAGTTTGGGAGGAAGTGGAGAGAATTATTGAATGCCTAACATCTTCAATGAAATTATGAACATACTCAGTATTTGGTGAAAACCAACTAAACACATGACACTTTAAGGGATTAAAAAAAAAGAAAATCAGTTGTTCTTAGCTGCCACATCCACAGAGAAAAAAATTATAAAAAAAGTTTTAGAAATAATGAACTCTGCCTTCAAGAGACTTTTCATGTGAAGAGAAAATAAGATATAAAGATTAAGCAATAAGAGATGAATAGGAGAGCCAACAACAGTGATCAGAGGAAGCTACCCCCGATAGAGATGGTGGGATGGGGATGGGGCAGGAATCTCAAAATGCTCCTTGAAAGATATTGCATTTCAGCTGGGACTCAAAAGGCTGGCAGAATTTGGGCTTGCAGTGGTGGAGTGAAGGTGAGGGATGGAAGGGTGTGAGCACTGAGACCCAAAGCCTTTATGTTGAAGTTTTTTTCTGAGTTCCTCCTTCATTCTATCTCTTACCCAGCCCAAGCTTTTTTATTTTTATTTTTACTTTATTTTAGTTTTGAGACGGAGTCTCGCTCTGTCACCCAGGCTGGAGTGCAGTGGCGCAATCTCGGCTCACTGCAAGCTCCGCCTCCCGGGTTAATGCCATTCTCCTGCCTCAGCCTCCCAAGTAGCTGGGACTACAGGCACGTGGCACCACGCCCGGCTAATTTTTTGTATTTTTAGTAGAGATGGATTTTCACCGTGTTAGCCAGGATGGTCTTGATCTCCTGATCTCATGATCCACCCACCTCAGCCTCCCAAAGTGCTGGGATTACAGATGTGAGCCACTGCGCCCAGCCCAGCCGAAGCTTTTAATCAAAGGCTATAGCTGCATATGCAACTAGAATGAACAAATTCTCCAGAAAAATGAAACCTTCCCCAATTGCCCAGGTAACTGCTTCAGCTGTTTATTTCTCTAGAGGTAGATAGAATTTAAATCTCACAAAGAATTGTTATTTCTCATTAGCCTCAAATTTTAGGCCCAGGAACAGGGAGAGCTGTGTTTTCAGCTTCAACTCCTGCCCCTCCAAATGCTTTTTGGCCCTCTCTATAAGCACACTTCCTAAAAGAAGCAAGTTCCCTTCAGTTCCCTGTGAGCCTCATGCCTTGGGGCCTTGGTGGCTTTGCCTGGAATTATCTCCTCTGTGTCTCTCACAGGTGAAACTGCATTGGCACTTCCCAGCCCAGTTTGAGTGTGAAGTTTCCTACAGAATTTCCCTGCTCCTCACCTGCCACAGCCCTGCACTCAATCCCACCTGCCACAGCCCTGCACTCAACCCATTCTCCTAGCATAACCTACAGACTTTTTATCATCTGGGTAATACCGTCTTCCCCATTAGTGATGCACTCCTCGAGTTAGATACTAGATCTTTGCCAACCCAATATGTGGTGTATGTAGAATAACTAGTAAGTGTTTGTTGTATTTTTTTTTCTTTTTGAGACAGAGTCTCACTCTGTCTCCCAGGCTGGAGTGCAGTGGCATGATCTCAGCTCAGTACAACCTCCACCTCCTGGGTTCAAGCGAGTCTTGTGCCTCAGCCTCCCGAGTAGCTGGGACTACAGGCACCCGTCACCACACCCAGCTAACATTATTATATTAACTACTGTTTTATAGATAGACCAGCTGAGACTCACCTTTCTCAAGTGGCTCAGACACCTGTAGCCTTAGAAATAACCACAGTGCACTGTCTGAACAAGGGAACACGTGTTTTGTGCTGCATTCTTACCTGAGTAAGGCTTATCATCTTTTTTTGTGATCATAAATGCACCGCAGGATATTTAGGAAATACAATGAGAAAGAGGAAAATAAAAACCCTGGCTGGGTGCGGTGGGTCATGCCTGAAATCCCAGCACTTTTTGGACAAGCGGGTGGATCACCTGAGGTCAGGAGGTCGAGACCAACCTGGCCAACATGGCGAAACCCCGTCTCTTCTAAAAATACAAAAATTAGCCTAGTGTGGTAGTGGGCGCCTGTAATCCCAGCTACTCAGGAAGCTGAGGCAGGAGAATCGCTTGAACCAGGGAGACAGAGGTTGCAGTGAGCTGAGATTGCGCCACTGCACTCTAGCCTGGGTGACAGAGCAAGACTCCATCTCCCAAAGTGCTGCGGAGTTACAGGGCGTGAGCCACTGCGCCCAGACCGTTTGTATGTATTTTTTTAAAATTGAAAACCTCATGCTTAAGCTTGGGTTTGTACAAATGGATTTGGCTATCCCGTAAGTACGCAGACCTAGCCCGTGGGAAGATGCCAGGAGGCATCACGAGTATCAGGATGACGTGTACGCCAAGGACGAAACTATTTGCTGGAAAGGGCAAAGGTAGGTAAACTTTAGGTTTTTTTCTTTTTCTTTTTCCGTAGGTGCGGTGGCTCAGCCTAGGCGTGAAGTGCAATGGCGGCGTAGTTCTCAAGCGTGCACTGCAAGCTCCGCCGCGCCGGGTTAACATATTCTCGCCTCAGCCTCCCAAGTAGCTGATTACAGGGCGCCCGCACCACGCCCAGCTTAATTTTTTTTTTCTTTTTTTTTAGTAGAGCCAGGGTCACCGTGTTAGCCATGGATGTCTCGATCTCCTGACATCGA